AAAAAAAAAACCAGATATATACAGTACAATTCATAACAGTTGTAGAATTACAGTCATTAAGCGGCACCGAACAAAATTTTATGGTTTGGGGTCACCACAATACGGGAAAGTGTATTAAAGGGTCACAATGTTAGGAAGATCGAGAACCACTGGCCTAGACTGTTGGAGTGAAGGCATCCCTCTCAAGATGTTGGCTTCTCTCCACCGTAGACTGGCTGACAGTGATCTTCATCATCCTTGGAGCCCTCCTTTTCCTGCTGCTGATTGGTGTGTGCTGGTGCCAGTGTTGTCCTCAGTGTTGCTGCTGCTACGTCCGCTGCCCCTGCTGTCCTACCCGCTGCTGCTGCCCCGAGGAAGGTGAGAGAGAGAGAACACAGAGTATCAACTGGTTGGACATGATGGTACAAGTGCCCCAAGGAGATAGGTTTTCCTTTCTCAGGTCAAACTTCCTGGCTCTTCTGGGATCTCCTTCATACCTTCTTCCTTCACACAGGCTCAAAAGACGTGAGCTGTAGCTTAAAAATGCTCTAAATCGACAAGGAAGGTGGCCGATAACAGGATTTCTACCTATAAAACTATTATTATTATTATTATTATTATTATTATTATTATTTTATTTTTTTAGTAAACAGAAGGGGTTGGATCAACTGTTTTAAGTGGAAGTTTTCCTTTTTGTGTATTTGGGCAGTTCAACTCTTCTCTCCCAGGTCAAAAGTGGAAAAGGAATTTCCAGCTCTTTAACCATGCTTTGGCCTTTTGGGCAACCTGTCTTCATCCCAAAGCTCTCTAGGGACCCCGGCCACCAGTCATCTAATTAGTACATGGAAATTCTCCTCATTCTTGAGGTCCCCAGAATTGTAGGACTTGTATTTCAGAAACCAGGGACAGAGACCGGTATGTACCTTATTCTATTACAATTTCACAACACTGCTTAGAGATGAGATGAAAAGAACGGAGCAATAGGGAAGGATATTGAAGCCTTAGTTTTCAAACTGAAGTCCACACTGGATAATGTGGAGGACTTGGTCAAAATTAATTGCTGCCCCCTATCCAGCTTCTGACCCCATGCGTCTGGGGGATTAGGGCACACACACACACACACACACACAAATATAATAAGACTATGATAGGCTCTAAATTTTAAGTTTCAGATTAGATGAATTTAAGCAGGGCTCTGGTGCACACCTGTAATCCCAGCACTCAGGGAGGCAGAGGCAGGTGGATCAGTATGAATTTAAGGCCAGCCTGGTCTACAAAGTGAGTCTAGGACAGCCAATGTTACACAGAGAAACCCTGTTTCAAAAACAACAAAAAAACAGAACAACAAAGCAAAACAACCACCCCAAAAGCAAAAGAATGTTCTATAAAGTTCTTTCCTCAGTAAATAGATGAGAGTGTTTTAACTGCAAGGTTTTTTTTTTTTCTGTGTATTTGTTTTAAGTAACATTTCCTTTTCCTGATGATGTAAAGTATCACATGGTAGAAAATCTGAGAATTAAAAAAATCAAAAAGTAGACTAAACCAAATCCCTAGAGACAACTATTCTTGTCATCTTGGTCCATGTAAAGGAAGAAAGTTTGAAAGGAAAACATGACGATTACTCAATGATGATAGACAGCCTACTTAATCTATGATGTCAAGGTCAGTGGTGTGAGTATGGTTTCAGGCTTGTGATGAAAGGCTGCCTGATGTCTTACAGGAAAAGAGAAATAACTTTCATTAGATGCCTGCTTAATGTGTGTCCTCTATGTCTACTTCCTCACCGAATCCTCACCACAGCTGCCAAAGGAATATGTCATCACCACTTCACAGGCCAGGTCAGAGAAGTCTCACAGTTCACAAGTACAGTGACTGCTACTGATCTGTGTCTGCGTGTCCCATGTGGGGACTGCTACAGCCTCTGTGGACTAGCTGAGGTTATATAAACTCTTGGAAGGGGTGGAAATAGCCGGGGACTCAACTTGAGTCTATGGCGAATGTTCCCTCTCAGGGAGTAGTCAGATGAGAGATAAGTCCTCACCTGCTAACTCCTTAGATTACAGGGTATTAAAGGTGGGCAGGATTGGGGCAAAGCTAGCATGGATGGAGGGTGCATTTGATCAGTAAGAGAAGCAAAGGTTTGGTTTCTCTTCAGTGTCTGGAATTTACTCATTGAAAAGAACTGATGAAATGAAGAACTTCAGGCCATAACTTAAAGTCCTTGGCTTTGATCAGACAAGCTCACTTTTAACTTTCCTGACAAATTTGGTGAGAAGATGAGTTGCAGTGAGGGGCAGGGATGGTTAAGGAAAGATCAGTGAATAAGGGAAGTATTCTGATGCTGTTCTTGTTTGATTGATTTTTGTTTGTTTGTTTGTTTAGGCCAAAATAGCCCTTACAATGTGTATAAGCAAAGGACTGAAAGAGAATCAATGGAAGCCCCAGATAAGAAGCTGGGTGATCGAGGATGAGTTGGAAGTTTTCTCTACTAAGAAAGAGCTAGCCTTAGAAAGGAAAGAGACAAGAGCGTAAGCAGCCTGGCCTCTCAAAAGAGAGGTCATTAGATGTGGAGGATGGTCCGTGTATGAGGGAGCCCACAGCCTTCCACAACTTCTGCAAATCAAAGTGCAGTGCTGGAGACATAGCTTGGTGGTTCTCATGAGACCCCTGGGTTTCAATCGCAACATCAGAAACGAACAAATGTCCTAGATGCAGAAGGAAGCCTCTGGAAGGATGTCAGAGATGCTTGAACTTCTCCCACCACAGCCCATCTCCCCAGCCAGCTCCCACCTTCCTGAGTTGCAACAGGGGACTAGAGAGAAAAATGAAAGTGGTGCTAACTTTTAGTAGATCCAATAATCCCCCCAGTATTGGCAAACAACCCTCATAGGATTTACTGACGAATGTTTTTAGAATCGGGCCTATTTTTTTTTTCCTACAAGAACTAGAGAAACTTCTCATCTCTCTGAGTTACTGGCCTCCCCTCCCCAGAGAACATCTCTCTATACAGAGCAGGGAAAAGTGAGGGCTGGAGAGACTTCTCTAGTTACATAGACCTTGATGATCAAGACCCATAGCTGTTGGCTCTCTGTGAGGGCTAGTTCCTGTCCTTAACAAAGAAGACATAATCTGCTGGAAGTTCATGGGGGACCCGAGCAATGGGGAGCCTAGAAGGAGGAAAGGCATACTTGATAGGAAGGTCCTTCAAGGAAAGACCATTCTAAGGAGGACTATTTGAGATCCCATTGCTTGGCTGGGGCCAGGGAGCTTTTTCTGGTGGTTCCCTGAGGTTAAAATGACAAGAGTTCAAAGGGCTGTCCTGTTCCTAAAAGCTGCTGAGGACGTTGAGTTGGTCGTGGCTATAGGGTGAAGGACAGTAAAGAACAGACGGGCTTCTGTGACAGCAGAGAGGTGGAATGGAAATCGGCCATGAGCAAGGGAAGCTGGAAGGTCTCCAGGGACACCAGGGGTGGAGTACAGGTTTCAGAGGAGGGTCAAGTGTTGTCATACGCCTTAAACATCATGCCTCCGCGTTTCCCTCAGAGACAAAGATTGGTGCAGTTTAGACTCTATGCGTGTTTGTTTCTCCTGAAGCTAAGGCAAAAGAAACAATTCACTGTGATAACACTGAAAGTCTCTACCTGCTGACTCACCCATCAGGCATTCCGTGTGCTTTGCCTCATTTAATGCCAGCAACTCTGTGAAAGACCTATTTTGTCTAGCCCAGAGACTTTGAAAACACCAAGTCGCAAAGCTAGGATTGTCTAGCTGGTTGAAGTCCACCTGGCCCTCAGAATCTTCATTTAAAGATTCCGAAATCCTGACGGCTTCATTTCTCAGAATTTTCATACTCCCCAGCCGCCAGCTCCAGTCTGACATAACAGCATCACGCTGTGGCTCGGCTCCGAAAGCAACTTCTGAAATCTCGACTTCTGCGTCTGTTTCCCACATTAAAAGACATCTCAAGACCACGTGTGGTGGCTCACGCCTGTAACCTCAGCCCTCAGATCATTAAGTTTGATGTCGGCCTAGAGCGAGGCCGCGTTTCAAAAAACAGAGAGCGGGCTAGGATGGGAAGAGAAGGGTTAGCTTGCTTACCGAAAATAGTCGCTGTGCTGACGGTGGCCAATAGAGGGGGCTGCTGAGCCCCTCCTCCTGTCCCCTTTGAAGCTGGCACGCAGCGGGTTGGGTTGGTATTAAGGTGTGGCAACTTTAGGAGCACTTGCTTTCCCCCTGGCTGGGCTGTGACTCATCATCGGGGCTGGAGCTCTGGACAGTCCTTGGGGCTCTGTGGCGACCACTTCCTGTTGCGCCGCACTCTTAACGGTGGCAGCCGACCTTCCACCCCGTGCAGCCGGGTACAGGATACCCTCCCTTTGCCCCATTTTACAGCGAACCCTGAGCTGGGTGGGACTACCAGGGCGGAGGCCCGTCACAGTCTGTAGCAGCGTGCCTCTGCTCCACGCATGGCTAGGCAGGGCCTTTGGGAGTCGAGGGGTACTCAGCCACGATTGCCTCTAAACGGAACCCCACTAACAAAAACAAATAAGCGTCGGTATTTTTAATCGCCCTTGCTACAGATGGTGGAGCCTCTGAACAGCTTCGCCGAGGGGACTGAGGTGACGTTTTGTAGACACTTGGTGTTGCTTTTTTTTTTCTTCACACTGTTCCTCTCAATAAGAGAGGAAATATTTCCCTTCCACTTGCCTGTCCCACCCCTAACTGGGGGAAAACCCAGCAGTTAGCAAAGGAGAAAAATAGAAAGGATCCCGGACAACTCACTTCAGCTTTGTGCATCCCTGGCCTTCCTCCCACACGGTTTCTCCCACCGAGGGCTGGTGATGCTTCAGCATCACATCATAGCCTTGTTTTCCCCTTTGGGACAGATAGCCCTGAGCTTGCCCTGCAGGCCCAAGAGCCATCAGCCTCCTCCAAGCCTTTACCACGCGGGGTGTCTCTGTGTGGCTTGTAGTTTGATGGACTGCTTGGTATGTGTGCGGGCCTGCCTATGCCCTTGGGTGACCTGGAGAGCGAATAACATGTTTTGAAGCTAGGAAGAAGCAGTCTTTCCTAGGGTGTGAAAGGTATAGCCTTTACTATGGGGAATTTGGTCCCAGCCCCTTCTTAAAGACACAGCTGAGTCCTGTTCCCCTTATCTCTTGTTTCCATGCAAGATAGGTGAGAATGGGCTCCAAGGAGAGAAGCTGCAAGCACAGACCGAGTGAAGTGGGAGGCGTGGGACTCCCTCTGGCTAAGGGTCTGCGTTTCTCCTTCTTCCCCTGCAGCCCTGGCCCGCCACCGCTACATGAAGCAGGTTCAGGCCCTAGGTCCTCAGATGATGGAAAAACCCCTGTATTGGGGGGCGGACAGGAGCTCCCAAGTTTCATCTTATGCAATGAACCCGCTGCTGCAGCGAGGTAAACTTTGCCAGAAAGCCATGGGAGGAGGAGGGCAGAGGGGGAGGGCAGAAGGGCAGACCGCCGAGGAGCATGCGCACTAATGGGGTTGTCTTTGCTATGGCAAGGTGGGAGGGAGTGGAAGCCTGCTAAATAATGTGACAGTTTGACACCCAGGACGATGTCCGGGCTCGCAGTTCAGTGCGCTCTGTCCTTGTTTCCATTCAGATCTGTCCTTACGGTCCAGCCTTCCCCAGATGCCAATGACCCAGACGGCCGCTCACCCTCCCGTGGCCAACGGTGTCCTGGAATATTTGGAGAAAGAATTGCGGAACCTCAACCCAGCTCAGCCTCTGCCTCGCGATTTTAGAGCCAAATCTGGCCACCCTTGTAGCATGCTGTCCTCTCTAGGCTCCGCACAGGTTGTGGAGCGCAGAGTCATCCACCTTCCCCCGCTGATCAGAGACCCACTGTCCTCCAGGACCAGCGACTCCTCCCACCAGCAGCGGCTCAACCCTGTTCCTTCCAGACCTTGGGATCCCAGTGAGGGCCGGAGGCAGCGCCATCACTCTGACTTCCTCCAAGAGCTCCAGGACCGGGGGATCAGGCCCTGGGCCCCGGAAAGAAGGGAGCTGGACCCCCATTGGAGTTGGAGACACCACCGCTCTAGGCCCAGCGAGTCCTCCATGCCCTGGTCAGACTGGGACAGCCTGAGCGAAGGCCCCTCGTCCAGTGAGGCCCCTTGGTCCCCCAGACGATCAGATCCCCGGGAAGGCGCCCAGAGACACGGGAGACGCAGGCATCGCAGCTACTCGCCTCCCCTGCCCGCGGGCCCCAGTTCTTGGAGCTCTGAAGAGGAGAAAGAGTCACTGCCCAGGAACTGGGGTGCCCAGCGCCACCACCGCCGCCGCCGCCGCTCACAGTCCCCGAACTGGACTGAGGAGAAGCCACCCAGCTACCGTTCACTGGATGTTACTTCAGGCAAGAACAACATGAAAAAAGGGAGTGTGGAGAGGCGCTTGGTGAGCCTGGGGCATCCTGTGGTGGGTTGGGCATGGGCAGAGGCCTCTTAGGCAGCGGCCTTGGCTACAGCTGACACAGGCCCGGCAGTGTCCTTCTAGTTTTGCATGACTCTCTGAGCAGGCTGGGACACTGCCTTTTTTTTTTTTTTTTTTCTTTTCTTTTTTTTTTTTTCAACAAAAAGGTCCAGAGTCAGTGCAGGGTGCAGAAGAGGCATAAGGCTTGCAAAGGGCCTTCTCTGCCTCAGTGTCGCCATCTTCTCTGCTTCCGGAGGTAGGTCAGGTGGGTTCTGCTGGTAAGCAGGTGAAGAGCTGGGGCTCATCAAGACTAAGCACCCCATGTCGGGGAGCTGGACCTCGGGCTTCGCAATCCTATTTCCACAGGCCAGGAGCGGTGAGTGTTTAAGGGAGCAGCAACTGTACTGTGTGTGAGGATGAGGTCTTTCGTATTAGCCCAAAACCACCTATCCCCAAGGCTCATCAGACAGATGAAAACCAACCCTGGCATCCCACTCAGGAGTAAAACTTTAGCGTGCTGTGAACGCCAAATGTGCCAGGCGTTACTTAGCAACCTAACGGGGGAAATAGGAGAAGAGGATAGGGCCCTTAGTGCCTCTGGCTTTTCTTTCATTTTTTTTGGGGGGGAGGAACGAATTTTAAGCAAGGTGAGATGGTACAGCCACCTGCAATCGGAGCCCTCAGGAGCCTGAGGCAGGAAAAATGCCACAAGTTCGCGGCCAGCCTGATCCACTGTATGAGACGCTGTCTCAAAAGCACCATGACTTTAAGGAACCATTTTATAATTCAGTCACCCACGGGACAGCTGATACTTTATGAAAATATTCCACCTCTCCAACGTAAACACATTACTTACTCAGAGGCAACTTACAGGCTACCCATGACCAAAACCTTTTTCTCATTTTCTTCTGCTGACACGGTCAGGTAGGTCTTGGGAAGCTCTGAGGGGAAGTCCCAGTAAAAGGGCATCACCTAAGAACAGCAGTCTCTTATGGGCTCTGAAGGACAGACCTATCTATTGTTATACACACACACACACACACACACACACACACACTAGATGTGTGTGTGCAAAGGAACAAGCCCCCCAGGGGAGATGCAGGATGTTCCTCTAGGGAAAACTGAGACAGAAAGGAAGAGTGGTGTGGGGAAGGCAGCGAAGCCCAGCCAGTGCTTCTGAAATCAGAAGCAGCAGCTGTGTCATTTTTTTCACGGAGTCCCACAGACGCTGAGATCAGTGACTATCAGCCTGAGGCACTGAGCTACGTATGCAGTATATACCTGCGTATATACTCCACATACTCTCAGTCTATACTCCACATATCCTCCGTATACCCAGCAGCCCTGAACTGTGAGGCCCTCTTGAGTGAAAGCGTTGTGTGCCCGATGGTCTTCTGCCTCGGGCTGCTCCCTCACACGTCTCTTTGTCTGAGCAGAAGCTCAAGGAGTGACCTCATCCACGCATGACATAACTGCTTCGCCCCGTGGTTTAGAATGGGTTCCGTAAGAAAGCACAAAAGCATCCAAAGCTGGGATGTCTGGAACCACTGTCACATGGTGACCTTTCTCCTGTAGTGACTCGATATGCCTCTTCCTTTTAGCAGGAAACAAAATGTGTTTGTCATGTTTTTGGCTCCAAAGTCTGAGCCCTTTTTTCCCCTCTAAGTTCCTTTTTTTTTTTTTTTTCTGATTAAACTAAGCCTTATAGCCTAAGGGAAGGATATGGAAGGTTGTAGATGCTAGAGGCAGTCCTGCTTCATTCAGTTCTCACAAGGCTCAGAACGGTTGAGTAAGAAGGGCAAAGCACATGGCAGTAGAAAATGAAGCCCAAGTTTGAACGTAGCCCTCTGGTTCTCGAGCCCTTTCCATAACCATCACTGTTTGCTTCGACAGAAGGCAACCACTGAGATCAATAATGCTTTCTAGTGACTATGAAGGCTTCCTAATTTCCCCCCAAGTATGAGTACCTTTTTGTACACAAAATGTACACAGGAAGTGTACAAGAAGATGTGCACAGGAAGTAACTCTACCACAGCTTTCATGTATAAAGTTATCTTTGAGAAGCAAAGATTTGGTCCAAAATAATTTTAAAATCCCCATGGTCTTGAGCCCGAGTCTGTCTTCTAGAAGTGTCACTGGATTGCACGGAACCTTCTCCTTTTTCTGACAGTGACCAGAGGCCAAGGACCAGAGCTTAAGTTTGCTGATGAGTTCGTTTCAACGGTGCAGTTTGTGGTCTTTGAAGCTTTACTGTGATGAAAAGTCTCTGTTGGTTCTGGATGCGCCCTACACAGGTTTCGGGAGGCACCGGAGCTTGCAGCTTTGGACACCGTTAGGCACTGTTTGAGCACAGTTAGGCCACTAGATGGTGACTCTTGATTGCGTACCACTTGAAGTTTCTCTGTTCCTTCTGTTAGAAAAACGCATACCACTGTTAAGTCAGGCTTTGTCAGCAACAGATTTACCATAACTTTAAAAATAAAACAGCCACTAAAATACTTCATCAAACACTCAGAGAAAGAGGAAACTAAGCATTTTTAGGCTCGCTGGAGCCTTTTTCCTCAAGAGTAATGTTTAATAAATAGACACAAGCAAGGGCTTCTGTGCACACAATCTTCTGGCAATCTAAACTAGGTAAGAAGTGCCCTCTGCTCAGTGCCCAGGAAAATACAGACCTCATGCTGTCTGTGGGAGAACCCACTCATCTCACTTCATCTAAGCTCTCTCTCACTGGTGGTGGCCCTTTCCCTCAGTCAAAATGAAGTGGGAACTTCAAGCTTTCTACTCCCCTAGCTTCTGACTGAATGATCCCTGTGCTCCTAACCTCCTTCAGATGATCTCTCTTTCCGATCTTGCCCTAATAGAATGACGAGTTCCATGACACTCTGGAGCCTTCAAAACTTGGCCCACGTATATCTGTTGTAGTGAGGAGAAATCCATGGTGTTTGTTTCTGGGCTAACCTGTAATGCTCTGGAGTGAATATCAGGTTATATTTTTGCCTTAACAATTTTTAAACTAATTAATTAATTTATTTTTTTTTGTTATTACAGTTTATTCACCCTTCCTCTCTCTTCTCCTCCCATGCCCTTCCCCAGTCCACTGATAAGGAAGGTTCTCCTCCCCTTCCATCTGACCCTAGCCTATCAGGTCTCATCAGGAATGCCTGCATTGTCTTCCTCTGTGGCCTCATGTGGCTGCCCTCCCCCCAGGGGGAGGTGATCAAAGAGCCAGCCACTAAGTTCATGTCAGAGATAGTCCCTGTTCCCATTACTAGGGAACCCACTTCGACACTGAGCTGCCATGGGCTACATTTGTGCAGGGGTTCTAGGTTATCTCCATGCATGGTCTTTGGTTGGAGTATTGGTCTTTTCAAAGACTCCTGGGCTCAGAGTTTTTGGTTCTGTTGCTCTCCTTGTGGAGCTCCTGTCCCCTCCATGTCTTTCTGACTTCCCCTTCTTTCATAAGATTCTCTGCACTCTGCACAATATATATATATATATATATATATATATATATATATATATATATATATAATTTAGTTTTAAATATATATATATATATATTTAATTTTTAAAAGTTACATTGGAATCTGCAGTCTTCTACTTTGAGTATCCTTTGATCTTGCCAAGGTCCTCCTTAACAAAATCCATTTGTTCCTATTCACTGTTGTCTTCTGTGGCAGAGAACATTCATTCCAGAATATGCTGATTAGAAACCTTAGTCCTTAAAACTCACTTTCCTGATAACAAGAAACAGATTTTTAAAGCAATATGATGCAAATACCTACACAGCATCTTTAGGACATTCATTAAAGGAAAAGTGTCTTCTCTTTACAAATGATATGAGGATGATCTTATTCCTGAATTCCAGCTGTAGATTTTTCAAAAATGTAATGAAATAATCCCCTTCTCTGAAATGCATGGAGAGGTTGGAGAAACATAATTCTTGCCTCATCAGATGATAAAACAACAACAAACAAAACCTAATGACAAACCCAAAAGTAGCAAGAGGTCTTTCAAGAAAAGCCATTGAGTTTGTTCAGGAAAACTCTGAAAAATATAACTAGAGGAATACTAAAGTATGAAGTTGAATGAAAGGCATGGGGAGGAATGGTTCAGAGCAAAACAGGGAATAGAGCTGTCTTCATGGTAGAGAGATGAACTGATAAATGAAAAGCAATCCTTTTCTTCAGTCTACTGAAGCCTTGAAGATATTACAAAAACAACAATGAGGGGCAGGGTAAATAAGATTAGAAATGTTGATGTTTGAGGAAGGCCATCGAGAAGAAAATGAATGGCGCTGTAAAAAGGTCAAGAAATATGGCACTCTCCATTTAGCAGGTTGGACCAGCTCTCCTTGGGTATTGCATTTACGGGTTGTAGATTGGGCTGACTGTAATTTTTGTGTTCTTATTCCTCAGGAGAGAGAGAGCTCCCATAGTGGACGGAGTGTGGTCATTTAGTCTCCAGGCGCTGTACCGCTTCAAGGATCCCACGTGTCCTCAGCATTGCCAAGATTTCCAGCTGTCTTGGGAAGGACAGAACACATCTGTGTCTCACAAGTTCGGACATAGCTTCTAGGAATCAAATAGAAGAATTTTCAGAACAGAAGCCAACATTCCCGTTGTTCATGCCCTCTGCCTCTTACACGATCTCTGAGTTGAAAGAGGCCTTAGCTAGGATATGATCCCTTGGGAACATAGTAGCACAAGTGTTCAAGTAGGTCAAGGTGCTCAGGACCAAGGCGTTCACATAATGACAACTCAGGAATCTTAAAGAAGAAATCAACTGTATTTCAGAAACAGGAAACCTATGGGATATTATAGGCAAATTTCCATGGGAACTTCCTGTCCTCTCTTGAACTTTAGGGTTTTCCACTAAAGTGTCCCCACCTGTGGTCCTGAGTTTCCAGTCCAAGCAAGTGCAGAAGTTCTCCATCTCTGTGCACACCCACAGGCTGTTTAGTGCAACTCCAGAAAATAAGTTTTTCAACAACCATATTCTCGATTATTTTCTTCTTGCTCCTTTCCCCTACACTTAATTTATTTTCTTATATATAATAATAGAATGATGCTAAAATCACTTTAACTACTTGCAAGCACCACACAGTATAAACAAGAAAAATTAATGCAGTGGGTTGAAGATTCCATCCCAAATAAATATCTGCTTTTCTACTTTGGGTTCCTACTTTATTCATTGGTTTAAGCCTATCTCCCAGTAAAATTCAGAGAATGATATGAATCGGGCCATGATAGGTAGCTCTGAAGCTACCATTCTCTTGGGGCTACTGAATGGTTCAGGATTGTGATGTCCCAACCATTAGCATGTAGGTAGGCTTTGCCACTCACAGAGTCCCCAGAGGAAAGAGCTGCACCCTTCCTGTAATAGGGCGATCACTGCTTCCCATTTTCCACTTGGTTGCTTCACAGATATATTTATGCTTGATGTGTTGGCTTTCTCTGAGTCGACTGGAAGGAGATGGATCCAACGGTATTGATATTGTACAGATAAGTATCCCTACCTGTGTGGTCGCAAGCTCAATTTAGAGCTAATTGTATCAACCTATCCATTTTAATCCAGACTCAAAATTAAAAGTGAAAAAAAAAATAGGCTAACTTCCTGTGTTTGGCAGAGGTTATTTTCAGGACTTATAAAATCTGAATTTAAATTAGGAAACAGAAAAAAATAGCCAAGGTAGATGTAAAATTGAATAGGTTGTGCTATTAAAGTTTGGAGAAATTAACATAGAACCACTTTTCAGCTCATCTCTTGGCAAAGTATAACTTTGTACATATATGTACGTATGTATATACTTATGTATGTATATATTAGATTCTTCTTTCATACAATACATCCAGACTATAGTTTCCCCTTCTTTCCACTCCTCCCAGCTCCCCCTCCCTGTCACCTCCTCTATTCCTTAGATTCACTCCCCCTCCATCTCCCATCAGGAAAGAGCAGGCCTCCAAGATACAACAACCAAACACAACAAAACAAAATACAATAAGGCAAGGCAAATGCCCTCATACTGGAAAAGGCAACTTAACAGGAAGAAAAGAGGCAAAAGAGTCAGAGACACACCCACTCCCACAGTTAGCGGTCCCACAAAAGCACCAATGAAGGACCTGGTGCAGACTCATGAAGACCCCACACTTGCCACTTTGGCTTCTGTGAGATCATAGGAGCCCTCTTTAGTTGATTCAGTGGGTCACGTTACCCTCCATCCCCTCTGACTCTTAGAATTCTTCAGCCCCCTCTTCTGCAGAACTGCCCGAGTTCTGAGGAGAGGGGCACAATGGAGACCTCCTATCTGTACTCTTTCTCCACGTAGCTGTGGGTCTCTGCATTTGCTCCCATCTGATGCCAGAGGAAATCTCCCTGGTGACAACTGGACAAGGCACTAAACTATGAGTATGGCAGAATATCATTAGAAATAATTTCATTAATTTTTTTTTTGACCAGTTGTGTTTAGTTCTACCCTAGGTCTTTGGGCTAACCAGTCAGTCTCCAGTTTCTGGCCATCTAAGCAACATCAGGCCTGGGCTTCCTCTTGTAGAGTGGGCCTCAAGTTAAACCAGACATTGGTTGTTTACTCTCACAAGGTCTGTGCTCCCATTGCCTCAGCACATCTTGCAAGCAGGACAGACTGTTGGTCAGTGGGTTTGTGGCTGGACTGGTGTCAGGGTTGCTCTTTCCATAGCCTTCAGAGTACCTTCTCGAGCCAAAAAGATTAGAAGGCAGGGGTGAAGGCTTCATGCAGGCACAAGCTCGACCTCTCCATGTTCAAAGAGCTGTGTGGATGTTGTCCTTGGCAATGCCGCCAACACTGTCAGTTTTTGGAGAGCAACTCTCTGTCCTAGCATGAGCCTGGGTTACATGTGGTCTCTCCATGGGACCCCCTTGGCCAACAACTCAACTAAATGCAACCCAGTCCCAGCACTGGAAGCCTTGCTTGGCTACAGAGAAGCTCAGTTGAGATTCCATATCCCCATTACTAGGAGTCCACACTAGGATTGCCCTCATAGATTCCAGAAAGTTTCCACTGCACTAGGTTTCCATATTACTCCTAAATGCCATCCCCCAATTGCATCTGTCTCTCCCTGCAATATCTCACTCCATTCCTCACCCCCACCTGATCTCACCGGGTCCTGTCTTCACCCATAAAATCTATTCTCTTTCCCCTTCCTAGGAAGATCCATTCCCTAGACCCTCCTCTTACCTACCTTCTCTCAGTCTATGTGTTAAAGCTTGGTTGTCATATACTTGACAGCTAATAATCCATTTATAAATGAACACATACTTTTTTTTGTCTTTCTGGGTTACCACACTCAAGATGATTTTTTTCTAGTTCCATTCATTTTCAAATTCCCACCATTATCCAGTAGGCTTCATCTTAGAGATGTATGGATGTTTCAATATATGAAAATCAGTAAATGTAATCCATCATATATACAAACTAAAAGAAGAAAACCTACATGATCATCTCATTAGATGCAGAAAAGGCCTTTGACAAAAGCTAACGCCCCTTCATGATGAATGTCCTAAAGACAGTAGGGATACAAGTGACATATCTAAACATAAATAAAGGCAATTTACAGCAAGTCTATAGACAACATCAAATTAAACAGAGAGGAACTCAAAGCATTCCACTAAAATCAGGAACAAGATTGTCTGCTCTTTCCATATCTATTCAATATTATACTTAAAGTTTTAGCTAGAGCAATATGACAACTAAAGAAGAGCAAGGGGATACAAATTGAAAAGGAAGGAGTAAAAATATTGCTATTCAAAGATGATATGATAGTATACATATGTGACCCCACAGAACTTCTACAGCTGATAAACACCATCAGTGAAGTAGCTGAATACAAAATTAACTAAAAGAAAATCACTATCCCTCCTGTGTACAAATGATAAATGGGCTGAGAAAGAAATCAGGTAAACAACACCTTTCACAAAAAGCCTCAAACAATATAAAATATCTTGGGCTAATTCTAACCAACCAAGTGAAAGAACTGTATAACAAGAACTTCAAGTCTTTGAAGAGAGAAATTGAAGAAGGTATCAGAAGATGGAAAGATCACCCATGCTCATTGATGGCTAGGATTAACAGTAAAAAATAGCTATCCTACCAAAAGAAATCTACAAATTCAGTGCAATCTCCTTCAGAATTACAACACAATTCTTTACAGATCTTGAAAGGACAATTCTCAACTTCAGATGGAAAGACAACAAAACCAGGATAGCTAAAATAATAATAATAATAATAATAATAATAATAATAATAATAATAATAATAATAATACAGAACTGCTGGAGATAATACAATCCCTGATTTTCAAATTTTGTAAATCTTGGAAATGCCATGAGACAAAACTCTGAAGGGTAGTAGGACAGTGAGGAGCAGGTCTGAGATCATAGACCTGGGAGACTGGCATAGAATCAGGGCATCTTCATCCCCAGTCAAAAGAAGGTAGCCATAATCATTGATTTTGAGTCCTGGGTTTGGTGGAGTTACTCTGACAACCTCAAACAACAACATTGGGGAGCCCTGCTGAAGGAAGAGGGCCTCTGCTTCCTGCCCACCCCATCCCCCTTTCTGAGGAAAGCTATTACACAGAAAAGCTCGTAGGTAAAGCAAAAGGTCCGCTCAGAAAAGCTTCACTGTTCCTGCTAGCCAAAGACTCTTGCTGTACCCACAGACACGGAGGCTGATGTGTATAACCAGGAAAACTGACCTCCCAGCTTGATCCTAGAGGCCATTTTGAGAATCCAAGATTCTCTCCCCATTCGTTAAACCAGACAAACTTGGGTGGCAGGGGACACCATCAAGAAAATTCTCTCACATCCCTCCCTCTTAAGAGTCATGCAATACCTGGCCAGAGAAAATCCTCCACAGCCCCTCGGTAGATGCCAGTTGAAGACAAAGCCAAATAGTAAATTAAGCTGAGTAAAACAACTCTATAGCAGCTTTGAAATGGCTGTTGGATAGTAGGCAAAGAGTATAGGAAAACAAAAAAACAAAAAACAAAAACAAGGTGACTCTATAAAATACGACCCAGAGCCTCAAACAAAATATCCAAAATATACACCAACAAGAAAGTGACAAATAAAAACAGGGAACCAGCTGATGGTAGCACCGGAGTGAACCAGATGTTGGGATTATCTGAAAATAATTTTAAAGCAAACATCATCAAAATGTTATAGAAATGAATTATAAATTTTATACAAACAAACAGAAAAGTAGAAAAAAAACCTCACATTTTTATTTTTGTTTTTTGGAGAAGGGAAGTTATAGGGGCTGGAGAGATGTCTCTACAGTCAAGAGACTTTTCTATTCTTCCACAAGACCTGAGTTTGATTTCTAGCATCCACAATCCTGTAAGACTCAACACTTTCTTCAGGCCTCTGCAGGCACTGAGAAGCATGCATAGACAACACACACACCCTTTTGCCTGGGCTGGGTAGCCAATCAGCTCCCAAGATTCACCTGTCCCACCATATCCTGGGTTCAGAAGTACATATTGACATGCTTCGGTTTCCACCTTGGTGCCAGGGATCTGAACTCCGGTCCCCAGTGCTTGCACAGAAACTGAACCCAGGTCCTCTTTAAAAACAGCAGGCACTCCCGGGGCTGAAGAGAGGGTTCTCCTGCTCTGGAGGTGCTCAGTGTTAGAAGCACACGCTGTTCTTCAGGGGACCCAGGCTTCCCTTCCAGCACCCACATGGTGGCGCACAACCCTCTGTACCTCCCGTTAGGGTGACTGTCTCTTCTGACTTCTCTGAATACCTGGAAAGCATGTTGTGCACCTATATATGCAGGCAAAATAGAAATAAATAAATCTTTAAAAACCAAAACCAAAAGCAAGCACTCTTAATTACGGAGACATTTTTCCAACTTTTACTAAAACAACTTTTTCATTCCGGCACTATGTTGCAACTCTTTTTTTCTTCTTCTTCTGATAATGAGATCTAGGTAGATTTATGGGCTAGCAGTTTGAAGAAAGCTGTATTTATCAACTAATTCAGGTACAGATGAAGTTCCTAGATTATGAAACCTGACTATAACCTACCCGGTATTTCTCTGCTTATTTTCCTTCTACTCAACATGAAGAAATTGAGACTTTTATGCTGTCAAACTGCCAAATGACTTATCCTGAATGTAAACCAATATGTTTGTCAAGCGCTGTGAAATGTGCTTAAGATAATTAACTGATTCCTGCCTTGAGGTGCCGGAGCTTCAAGGAGCTCTAAGAGCTTTGTCCTCCATGAAATGCTACAAAGAAAGTGCAGGGTTCTGTTCTGTTCTCTTTTATAGAGAATTATAAAAGACCAGACAACTTTTGATCTTCAAGGTGACCATCAGAATTTTATGTCCATTCTGCGGAAGTTGGAGAAGAGCCTTGAATAAATACAATCTTTTTAGGGTTTTCTAAACTAAATGGGCAGTGTTATTTAACAACAGGACTAAGTTGGGAGGTGAAGAATCTCTTGAAATGAAATTTGAAGGTTTCAAATTTTAGCTTTCTTTCTTTTTATTAAAACTGAGCCAGAGGTCTTTAAAAAAAAAACTGAAAATAAAAATAAGGTCTGGGGGAATGCCTATGTGTTATGAAATTTAACTAGCTTCCTTTCAAGATAGCATTCAGTTTGCTATTAGAA